TGTAGATTGTGTCATCAATCCCAACAGCCCAGTGACAGAATCTTGGCCATATCACAGGGTCAATAACTGGCAGGACCAAGGGACAACAGTTTTATGAAAGACTGAGCTAAAATATTACGCATGCTTTCCTCAGTTGGAAGTCCAGGAAGACAGAAATCAAGTCAGATGTACTTTCTCCACCATCACTGCCGTTCTTTCATAGCTGCTCATACCAAACCTTCTCTGCGCACCCCAGCAGGCCTGGAAAGTTCAAGATATGCAGATGAATCTATGTCCCAGAATTTCCTTCCACTATTTTTTTTAAGGAAATTCAAATGGAAATGTTCATGAGTGGATAACTGTTGGTAACAGAATGGCAGCTTCTTAAAATTTGTATCTTTTATGAAAAGAGCAGTATCATAGCCACATATACCAACTAATTGGGGATCTGCTCACTTGCTAAAAATACAAACAGGAATATAAAAGTGTGAGATATTAACATTATGCTAAAACACACAAGAAGTTTTTGCTTTGCACAGTTGCATCCAATTTAGTAGCTGTATCATCTAGAAAAAGATTTCAAGCTTGCAAAGAATTCCTCCAGGCATATGAAGCGTGGAGTTGCTGAGGATTAATGAGGAAAGGCACAAAAAGTGTCTCCTTCAGCGCTAGAATTAAGGTGGAGGAAACAAAGTCCTACAGCTGAATTTCTAAAAGTTCTAAGAATTAAAATGCATACTTTCTTTCCTGTATTTTTTCTTCCTAGAACTATTCCATCTATTTGCTGGATGAAGATACACAATAACTGATGGACACACATATCCTCCAAATAAATAATGCAATGATTCCAGAAGAGATATCTGAAAACCCAAATGGATCTAGAAGATAAAACTATTGCCTAACCACAGGATCGGCAGATAACCTGGGGAAAAAAATCTCTCATCCACAATGTCCAAGTATTGAATTGATCCAGTAAGAGTCACCCACTACCCCTGAGTTCACAAAGCAAATTTCATAAAATTGGAAGGATGTATTATTTAGGCAACAGGGCTCCTAGTATTAGTTCTTGGCCTTGCTGTAGAATGCTAGTTGTACTGGTGAACCAGCAAAACAATCACACTACTCAATTTGAGAAGAATCATCACTCCACAATACAGAATTCCAACCCAGGGACCTACCAAATCCCTCCACGTATTCAACTCCTCACCACCGCAGGGTGTCCAATCCCCTCCGCCTATAGCCCGGGAGGGAAGAACTGGCCTAGCATGTACAGTGCCCTGGGATCCATCTCTGACCCTCATGAAAACAAAGAAAACAAAACAAACCAAAAAACCGACAACAATGTCCTCCTCTCAGCTCAAAGCTCACACTCAACCTGCACCCTTCAGCCAGTTTTGCGTTAGGTCCCCACGGCTAAAACAATACCTCCCTGTTGTCCACGTCCTGCACCTCCTGTCCAGGAAAAGCACTGAGGCATATGGAATCTTCTCCTTGAGAAAGACACTCTCCATGTGCCCTAAAACCTGAATTGTATTTCCAGTAATGAATTCTGCTCCGTCTCTAACACACACGTTACGTAACATATAGTTATTTTATTTATAACTTTTCTGCTGCTGTGCCGATGTGTATCTCATCAAAGAACATTATGTGGACTTATCCATTCCATTTTGTTACCCAAATCCAGACAGAGTCATTCTCATTTATCCACACTGACAGACTCCTGAGTCATCCCACTTCACAAAGCCCGACAGAGACCAGGGCAGGCTTTTCGTGCCTCCTGATTCACTGGAAGGGCAGACGGCTGGTGAAGCCCCACATACAGAATCAGCACCAAACCAATGTAAGCTCGGCCGGGCAGGTGGCTCCTGAGGTGGGCGCGCCGAGGGGACCGGCTGAGAGCGCCGTGTTTCTAACTCAAATCTGTCGACGAAGACAGCTGTGTAAACCGGAAAGCAGTACCCAGCTTCCCTTCCTCCATCTCACTGAGGTTGAATGACAGCTTTGCCCTCAGTCAGTGACATAGTTTTTAAGTGAAAATTAACAAATAATTCTTGCTGGAACTTCCACCAGCTCCGCCGCTGTCCAAGGGGCTCCCTGGCTCCCTGGACACTGTCCAGTTCAGCTGTGTGTTCATCCCAGGAGCCACGGCCCATCGAGAGCCAGCTCCCCGAAGCGTGCAGGCAGCTCCAGCCCAGCGGTGGAGGTGTGGATGAGCACATGCCCTTCTCTGAGGAGAACTGAGCCCCGCTGTCCACCCTGGCGGCTGCCCAATGTCAGGCCATTTCTCCTGCTCCGTGAGGGCGGAGAGAATTCCCTGTGATCCCCGGAACTCCCTGGAATGCCTTCTGATTCCAGGTGCATTCCTCACCCCACAGACACAGGAGAGCCTCCTCTCCGCAGTGCGCTCGGGTGAGACGTCAGATTTCTTCAGACTCGGGGAAATTCTACACACGCAGTGAGGCACCTTGAAGACACGAGCCGAGCCTAACGTGAAACCACCTGCACTTCACACCCACGCTGTGCACGCGGCCTGAAGGTCATTTTTACAATACTGTAGAAGGTTTCTCGGGGAATGGGGGTGTTGTTCTTGTTGGACTTGTTCCTGTTTGTTGGTTGGTTTTTGGTTGTGCTGGGGATGGGACCCAGGGCCTCGTGCACGCTAAGCAAGTGCTCCAGCCCTGAGCCGTAGCCCTAGGCTTCTGCCTCAACTGTGAGCCGGTTCCTGGGCTCAGGGCTGGAACCTTCTACCTGGGCCATCAGGTCAGAGCTCAAAAGACCTGGAGTTTAGAAGATTCCGGATTTCAGATTTTCACATAAGGGATATCCAACCTAAACTCAGGGTTGTTCAACACAGTCCTGGTTTAAAACCTACAATTAATGTGTAAGGAGATTCTAGAATAGCTGTTTGCCTAACAAAGCATTTCCATGCATCTCTATGAACACATCAGGTGATGACCAACTCCAGCTCCTCCACAGCAGAATGCCCACACGCAGGCTGAATCTCCCTCATAACACACCTGACCTTATGCGAAAAGTCAAGGTTAAAACACGGCACACTGAAAACACCGTCTACAGTCACTTTCAGGATGAAATGGGATGGAAGAAGACAAAGAATTTTTAAATTCAAAAATGATCTAGAAGAAAACACACTGCCGATGACCCCCTTCAAAGCTCTCCCCTCCTTTCCAACACACTTTTCCCGTCACGCCTGCCCCTCCTTGAAGCTGTTCAGGAAGTCTGCTGCCATGAGTGTCTAGAGCTGAGTTGGCTTCCTCGATGTCCTGAACTGATCCAAAATGTTTCCCTCTCCTGGTCATTTCGACTTTGCGGGAGAGCTGGAAGTCACACACCGCCGGATCCAGGGACTAATGCGGATGAGGACACACTGTGAGGCTTTTACCAGCCTGCCTTTCTGGATGGCACTCAGAGGCAACATTCACCACATTTTTGATCACAACTCGTAAAGACACTCAGGAAAGGAGTCCAGAGCTGCTTCAGAAAGCGGTCAGAACAGTGGGAGGAGTGTACGCGGCTGCAGGGGAGGGTTCTGAGGGGGAGTAATGGCAGTGAATCTTTTACTGTAATGTGTTTTAAATGTAAACATTCACCTTATATTTTGATCACGCCTCATCTAAGGTGTATGTGAAACATAAATTAATTTCCTATTTGGAGTTTGGTCCCAACACAATTTCTGAATCATGCATATGCAAATATTCCAAAATCTCGAAAATCAAAATCCTAAATACTTTCTTCCCAAGCATTTACATTCATGTATCATACATGAAACTCCTTCTATACTATTTCTCCTTTCATGGTATTTCCCCCACCATATTTTTGGAATATACAAGGGTCCAATGCCTCTCTGTTAACACAGGATTTGAGGGCACTCAGACTGTTAGGGCGTATCACCTACACTGAAGTGGAAGTAGAGAGCCCTAGAGAAATGACATCTAACTTTTAATAAATCTTACAGATTACACATGCAAAATGCTCTTCCCCAAGAAAAATGACCCGCTTAAGTTGCTATACAAATATTTATATTACATATTCCTGCTATTTTCAAAAAACATTTTCAAGCAATTTTCAGCCAGGTTAGCTATCATAAAGCAAACGGCCTCATATAGTATCTCCATTTCTGGCACAGAAACAATCATTACCAATTTCAATGAGGCACTCGAGTTTCCAGTCATGGATATATACTCTTTGCAATTTTTAAAAAATATTAAATCTTGTTATGGTTTGTGCCTGCATGTTCTGTCAAATCTTCATGCAGTCACGCTGCGCGTTTCTAGATTTTTGATTGATCCATAGTCCAGTGCTGGGATTATGAGTGTGAGTGCTACACCTGCCCCTGGGGTGGGTGGTTTGCAAACTAAGGGAGAGAAAGAGGCTGCGTGCCATTGCTCCTCCCTTTGCTGTTATTGCTTTTGCTGTTTACCACCTGCCATGAACTACTGCCCTCTGCCATGTGTCGTTCTACCTTGGAGCCAGCCGAGTATGGATTGAAACCTCCACCAACAGTGAGCTAAATAAACCTTTCCTTCCTTAATTTTGAGTGCCAGGTATTTTGTCTCAGCAATAAGGAAAAAGTAACTAAGGCAACTGTAAAATAAATAAGTTAAATGAAGTAAAATCTACGGTTAAGCAATGAAGACATGAGGATGTTCTGAGACTATTTCGAAGACTACAAGACTTGAACGCACCACTGTATATGAAATTCTACAGTGTACTGTGGAGAATGGAACACCATGGTAATCAGCGCACAGCACCTGAGGCGGACGTTGGGGAAAGTGTACGCAACAGAGGGACGCACACAGCGAGAACAGCGTGTGCACTGTGGGGCAGAGAGAAAGCCCCGCCAGCTGCACGCGTGCTTAGTACCATAGGTCTCCCAGTTTCCCTGCTAGGTCCCCACGGGAAACTGCGCCCCAACTGTGAAACAGCTGCACCACCTCCTAGAATCAGAACTGCAGGCAGAGGAGGCAGAGCAGGAACAGGTTTCTCGGGTGGGCCTTACTCACATCGACGAGCTGGGTGACCCCACTTGCTGTTTTCGCCAGCGTGACGAGGTCCTCTTGCATCTTATCCACCCATGACTTGATACTGCAGAGAGGAGAGAGAGAAGGTTCCATCAGCCCCGTAGCAAATAAAGGCCGCACACTAGTAATTCACAGACGTGCTTCAGACCATGCACGAAACGGCTTCACAAAAAAAAAAAAAAGTGGCTTCGATGCCTTCCTTTCTCTTTTACTCCACAATGTCCACCCTCCCGTTCCACATTCAAATTGCAAAAGCACTGAAACATTTAGGATCCTGGAATTTCCCCAAATCAAAAAGACAAAAATAAATGCCCATGCCCATAATCCCAGCACTCCGGAGGCTGAGGCAGGAAGGTTACCGTGAGTTTGAGGCCAGTTTAGGCTACATAGTGAGTTCAAGGCCAGCTTGCACTGCACAGTGAGACCCTGTCTAAATATTTCCACTATTTAACATTCCATTATCTCTGTACTCCACAACCCACTGGACCATCCTCCTTTTTTAAAAGAAAGACATCAGCTTTTAACAACTGCAAATTACACAGCAGCAAACGTCCTCATCTGCAGGCTTGAAAGGTTTTGTTTCCCCACTGAGGCTCTTAGATTTGGAATTACTCAGTTAAAGTTTAAATTTTAAAACAATGGTTTTGATCATTAAAATTATGATTGAAAGACACAACTGTAAATCCTTTTCAGGAATATTCTTTAGATTAATGCAAATAAGCAATGGATATGAGGGCATTTTACACAAACCTAAGTCCATGTTGTAGCTTAACTTTTTCTGGCATAGAAACATTACTGAATACCACACATTTTCCCTCGTTTGGATCAATGTAATTAAGGAATTTTCAATTCCTTCCTATACTTAATTTATTCATTCTCATGCTATGGATCTAGTGTATGTATCACTTTCTCCCCAGGCAAATGTAAGGAAACACTAGTAGTGTATTAAGAATGAGAGGAGATGGTCTAATATCTGAAGTTGAATTTTTGTCTACATACATATGACACGACACGTGAAACTTAACTACTTGTGTCTCCTCTTCCTTAGAGAAGAATCCCAACACTACATCGAGGTCACAAATCCCTTTTCAGAAAAATTTAAATGTAATAGAATAAAAACTTAAATGTGGAATAAAAACATAAATTATTTAAATGAAGTTTAGGAGAAACACATAAAAGAATGAAAAGCTGATAAACTACAGAAGAAAAAAGAAAACTAGAATTCACAAAAAAAGAATGAAGTGCCACAGAGAAAAACACAGAATGATCTACATGTAAAACAAACTAGTTACTAAATGAAATACATTAAAACTAAGAATGCTTTACCACAAACAAAAATAAAGAAGTTATTTTTTGTTGTTTTTTTTGTTTTGTTTTCTTGTTTTTCTTCCAGTACCAGGAATCGAACTCACGACCTTGCGCTTGCCAGGTAGGTGCTTTGCCACTGAGCTAAATCCCCAGCCCCAAGAAGAGAAGTCATTGAACCATACTGTATAAAAAGGATAGAAAAATACACAAATACCAAAAAAAAAAAAAAAGAAATTACAGAACCATTAAAGTGAGTGCACACTTAATGTTATTCTTATATTAGTTCGCAATACTTATGAGCTGGTGTATATATTTGCAAAATGCTACAAATGCTAACCAATCTGTATTCTTAGTGTTATTATTAGATCAATATCACTGTGCTCCACTTTTACATTAAGAAAAGAATTGCAGTGGGGTGCAGGTAGAAGCGAAGACCACAGACACTGTTTTCTAATTTGTATCAGACAATCTCTCTGCGCCATGCAGTTACTAAATGAGCTCTAGAAGCCAGAGAAAATAAATCACCTCTTTTTGCATGCAATTCCCAACACTGACAAACAGTAAGAACTGTTCCACATCCTCTGAGAAACAGAGACAAAGAAGAGAACTTAGCTCATGCCTTCTTGTGGGTTTGTGGCAGAGACCTCTACTAATAAACACGGATCAAAAAGAACGCGTGAACTAACTGAACAGGATGTGACGTTCAGGAGCAGGAGGGCCCCAGGGACAGCGCCGTAGTTTCTAGGAGAGCATCGTGAGGTGTGACTGGAGGAGAGAAGACCTGACCTAAGGGCATCGTGTGGGAGGAGCAGCATCTGTGGTCCAGCATCTTGGTTTCCTGCATGACACTGCTTCTCTTTGGCTGCGGGGCAGCACACCTGCCTCATGGAAGTGTCCAGCGGAGAAGGCAGGAGCAATGGTTCATCAAATGCCAAGGGCCTTTTTGGGGGCCGTGTTCACTGCTAGTTACACATTCTCACTGGACGCTTGGTGCTCCTTCTCCGCCTGCCCTCCCACTGCAGCATGTCCATCCCTGTCCTTTCAGAGTCAGAAGGGAGGCGCCCCCCATCCTTCCCAGCCCACAGTCTCTCCCTGTGCCCCGGCCAAGGCGCACTCTCTCCTGGACGACACTGAATGCACTGTCACAGCCCCCTCCCCTCTCTGGAGCCCTTGCCCTCTGCGGCTGCCATGGTAACACTGTCCTGAGGGGTCCCCCTTGCCACTACTCATTCTTCATTTTCCAGAGCACTAACTACTGTTTACTTTCTCCTCCCTCTGTGCACTCCTCTGGGAAGCCGGACACTGCTATCCACAGTAATCCTCAACACCACACCTGTACATTCCATGGAGACGTCTCTCCTAGACACAGGACATTCAGCTGCCTTGCCTATAACTTGTTGTCTAAACACCTGTATACACGTCTCCAAAGAGCACCTCTGAGTGACTCAATGAACACAAACTTTCGGGCTGGGGACCCCGCATGTGCAGAGTCCTGGTTTCCATCCCCAGCCCAGGGCTCCAGGGGCTTCTTCAAGGCCTCTCTAAGCTGTTCTTTCCAGAGCTTTCCGTATCAGAGGCTCCATCATCAGCTACACAGAGAAGCCCTAAGGCATCGGGCACACTTTCGCTTGCCGACTTTCCATTTCCAGCAGGTCAGGGAACCGTGCAGTCTGCAGTCCTCACTTCCTGCTAAGATGCTTGCTTCTGCTTGGCTTCCCCTCTTTTCCCCTTCTCCCTTTCCCCATCACTGAGTGATCTGTGCCCTTCTCATTTCCTGTGAAGTAAACCCTCCCTTCTCACTTCCTCTTCTTCCCCTAAGCCATCATCCGCTCTGCGGCAGGGGAACGTATTTTATCACGTTCATGTCTACCTACTTGGTCTGGTGGCTCCGGGCCTCTCCTGGTCTACTATGCTCCACTCTTTTGAGAATACAACCTAAGTGCTTCAGAATGCTCAGACTTTTGGTCTGGCCCATGTTTCCTGCTGCGAGGGTGAAAGAAGCAGATGAATTAAGAAAGAAGCAAAACAAAGACACCAATCATGGCTTCGAAGGAGGCTATCATTCAACAGAGACTGGCCTGTGAAGGAAACGTTGGAGGTAAAAGTTGGGGGGAGTAACTAGGACATCCATAGGGAAAAGCTGGGACAGCTCCACTTTACCTGTGTCTAGGTTCTTTGTGATAAAGGAGGCAGAGTCACCCGTTCAGAGATAGTGAAGATGAAGGCAGGGGGTCGAAAAGAAAGTTGGAGGTGTGAAGAGCGGGCAGAGAGTATTTAAGGATTGCAGTGCACAGGGGTCCTCGGTTTCCATTGGTTCTGATCGGGCCGCAGTGTGACTGACACGAGTCCTGGGGTGCTGAGGGCAAGATCACACAGCACCGGTGCTCAGATGAATGTGGGCCACATCCCAGCAGGTGGAACAGGGGATGAGGAATGGCGTGGGGAAGGTCCGGACAGTTTCAGGTGCCAGTTGCACCAAACACAACCAAAATATTCATTACAATGTCATACTTCACTTATAAACAGCATTTGTTTTCTATACCATGTTTCCTAATAAACCTGAACAAAACCCTGCAACACTATCTCTAAGAAAATGTGGAAATACAGTACCCCCAAGCTTCGAATCTTTCTCATCACCTTTTGAATACTGAGCTGAACAGCTTTATTTAAAAAAATACTGTGACAAAGAAAGCCAGGAAGCAGCCTGAGTACACCGACTCCATTTTAAACCACTTGAAACAGGGGAGAGGTATTCTAAAAGAACAAACTCTGAAAATCACTATGAAATACAAAGACTGCTCTCAGAAAATTTAATAGCTTGTTCAAAGGTCCTTCTCTCAGAAGTAAATATATATGAGGCTCTCCACCCAGATCAAGCAAGACCACCGAGTCCAGGAGTATCCAGCTCTCCCGGAAAATCGAAGTTGACAGACAGCTACGGGGTTTCCACCAGAGCACACCTTGGGCTTCATACAGGAGAGAGGTGTGCATCCCTGGGCTTCAAGTTTTGGGCGTGCCAGAGCCTTCCAAGTGAGGAGACCAACCCTGAGCCTGACAGGAAGTCAGAAGAGAGACCGATGGAGGGTGAATGCAGAGGGAAGCGGAGAGCAGCTCCGGAGAGCAGCTGAGGAGCCAGAGGTGCCCGTGGACACATGCCTGCCCCTTCCCACTGGGTTCCCCCAGCGCTGCTGGCCTCAGTCCTGGGCCCTGTCCTGTGTTCTGTCCTCGGGCCCTCTTCACGCTCCTAAGGCCAGTCCTCTCCTGACACCCACGCACACCTTCCTGTCGTTATTTGTACTTCTTCAAAATCTCTCATTTCAGGGACCACCCTGACTCAGGTCATTCCTAATCTGAGCTCCAGCTTACCTCAGCGAGCATTTGGTCACCCCACTTCGATGCCCCACCCTTGCTTTCCAAGATGTGTAACATGAAGCTCCACGTCTCCCCACCCCACCCCACCACCCACCTGTGTCCCTGGCTCCCTCCTGGCAAACCGTCTCCCCAACACCCCCACACAGGCCGCATGCCGCCACTCTCTCCACCCAGCCGACCCCCAGCCCTCTGCCAGGCGACGGACGCAGCATCTCCAGCACACCGCCCAGCAGCTAAACGTATGGAGCCTGTTTCCTTCCGGGCTGAGTATTTAATATGCACTCTCTTATTCAGTCCTCATGACAACCAGCGCTCACCTTCCACAGGCAAGAAAACTTGTGGGGGAGGAAAACTCGAAGGAAAAGCCCAGCCCTCTCCTAAGAC